TTGCCCTAAACCCTAGCAACAACCACAAGAGAATAACTGGGATACAAGGATCACGTCACTGCCCACAATATCTAAAACCTCCCAAGTAATCACAGCAAGAGTCTACTGTAGATTTGATCTAACGTGAGATGAGAATACTGTTAGATGATTGAGAACAATCTCTCTACGTTGTCCTTGTCTTCTTCCCTTTCTTTCTCTTCCTTTTCTGTCTTGTTCTCCTTCTTCTCTTTGGAATCCCGTGACCCTCAAGATCTGCCTCGTTGCTGCCTTTTTATAACCTTTTTCTACTTCTAAAACGTAGCCACCACACCCCATAATCTTAATTAGGGTTAGGTTAAGAGGGGGTGTGGGCTACCCTAGCCCACATGGGCTGAATATGGGCTATCAGCCCAACAGCGTGATCGGTTCGATCGTGATGCTCTCGACTTGCTCCACGTCCATCTTGGTTTTGACCGGTGGGAGATCAAGGACGGGGGGAACCGATGGCTGAGAGGCCGGTTCGACCTTAGGTTCGGAGTTGGCGTCGACACCGAAGAGGTTATCGGGAACCTCGGAGACAGTGGAGGATGCCTCGGAACGGTCACGCTAAGGGACGGTGGTGTTGGGCTGATGCGAGTTTTATGGACAATACTCAATCAGTTCTCATCTTAGGTTAGATCAAATTTATAATAGACTCTTGCTGTATTCTCTTGTGATTGTTGCTAGGGTTTAGGACAAGATATTAAGATTTGTATATTTATTATTCTCATAGTGATTATCTTTAGTTTGCCCCGTGATTTTCATCCTTCACATTAGAGGATTTTCCACGTATATCTTGATATTTTATTTGATTGTGATTTTATTTAATTCCGTTGTATATCATGACATACTAGTATTTGTTCATATACAAAGGTTATTCCGCATTATATCTCGTTAGGTGGGTTGAAGACTACGTTAGCTCTTATGCATTTCTGAGCATTAATGAACCAATGGTCATGAATGAAGCCCGGGACGTCGACAACGGAGCCGAAGGTGAGGGGCCTGTACGTCGGCGAGAGCGAAGCGATCGTACTCGTCGAACATGTTATCGATGTCCTCGTCGGAGGTGACGGAGACGAGTGCGTCGAGATCCTCGTGAGGGAGCTGGTACTTGAGGCAGGGTGGCTGGCCGCCAGCGGCGGCGGGATGGAGCTTGGAAAGACGGGAGCGGAGAGCGGCAAAAGAGCAGAGCGGGGAACAAACACATTGGGTATGATCATAGATAGACAGCTGTGTGTGATTACTAAATGTTAGTACAGCCAAACTGAGAAGCGAATTTGGTAAAGACAGGCTGTGTGTTTCCAGATTGGCTTATGTTTTCAAAAACAAGAGTTTGTCTTTTTGACGTACGTACCAAATATAGGGGGTTCGAACGTGTGCTTGCGTGCACAGTGGATGCCAACCCAGCAGTGCCTCTGTCTCTATCTATGTAAGTTTCAGAGTTATTAGAGCGCCAACAATAGCTAGAATTAATGACATTTCAGCGAGGAGGAGTGAGGGCGAGCAATAGGTGTTGCCAGAAGGTCCAAATATACTTTCGCCGACAACCGGTGACTCCTTTAATCATCAATGCCACCGCGGGAGTGAAGACAACTATTTGAGGAAAATACAGGATAGCATATGGGGTATGCTTATGGTTGGACATCAAATGCTAATACCAAACATGAGTCATTGTGCTGTGTTTATACTTACATTCGATAGTTTGAGATATGTATTTATGATTGAATAATTATTATTGATTTTATATAATTATCTTATATATTAACTGCTCACTTTATTTGAGTTATTACCTATAAAAGTTTATTTATGTCAAAGATAATAAATCTGAAAGCTTAAAAGTTTAATTATTGAGAAGGGACTTGGTGTCCCACACATATATTTGGCTGGAGTGCATAATCCCTTGCTTCACTATATTACTTATAATAAAACCTTACTTAAAAGATTGTTGGCTAAGAGCTCCCCTTCATAGGCCTTTTGTGAGCTAGGTTTAACGAATCGAAACTTCACATATGATTTTATCTTGCTCAACAGGACAAAGTTTATATATGGATAGTTAAATTAATTCTCTCGGTTAGTCCAAAGTTAGGCCTACCTTTCCTCCTAAGTTATAGAGGGGTGATCGATACAATATCCTGATGAGACTACTGGTTACTCTTCATACTCCCTCACTCGAGAGGATTTATTGACTTTCTTCTTATCAATAATAAGATAGAGTCTTCCTACGAGATTTATGTTTGCAACGTGCAATGGACAAAGTTAGATATTGAAGGAAAAATAAAATAAAAAACATAAAGAAACCCTAATAATTAACCTCGAAGGTACAAAATTGAGTTTAGCTTCTACGAGCTATTGCTTGCTTATCTTGATGATGACATTGCATTCAAGATCCTATAAATATATATTTTTTTGCTTTGAGAAATTCAATATAATTTTTTATTTTTACTTCCGTCTTCAATTTTTCATCTTTTATTTTGTTTGATCTTGGATTAATAAAAAAAATACACACTTGCATATGATTTTTCTCTTTTTTCATATTAAGCAACCCAAGCAAGATCGAGAGGTCATCCCTTTCTTAAAAAGAGCTAGAAAAATTAATTTTGTTTAGTTCTTATTAGACTTTGTATCCATTTTTAGACTAAAAGAAAATATATCTGACCACTAAATCACACATTTAAATAGACATACAAGAAAGTTGTTGAGAGAATAATTTTGAAACCATAACACTCTCTGACAAATGGTATAAGATAATATCATAAATTTGATCTAATTTAAGTGGATGAGATCTCTCGTAAGACATCGACAAAAAAAAAGAAGAAGAGAAGAATCAAAGCTATGAGTTAGTATGTGTGCAAATAATGATTCGACATACAGAGATAGTAGTAAATTATTGAGAACTTGCCCCCAAAGGATAATATTTTCTGTATTATCACTCGATCTCTTTTAAAGAAAGAAAGTAGGACTAACAAAGATGGAAGAGGAAAAAGAGACTCATAAATTATTTAAATAAAAAAATTATTAAAGAAAATATCTCAAAACGTGTCGGAAGAATGTGTGTCCTTCACACTTTAGGATAGTTTAAACACTAGTTTGTCTTACGTCCGAAACATACTCTTCGGACCTATGCACGAATCACAAATTACAAATGGCAAGTCTTAAATCGAATACCCATATACGGGAAAGGTATAAGTGGTGCAATTAAAGCTGTGCCATCCACTCGTTTCTGTCATTTTATTTGTTTCTCGGATTCCAAAAGATAAAAAATAAAAACAAAGTAAATCAATTTAATCCCAATCAGTCGAGAGCACTATTTTTTATGCCTACTTGATTTGGAAAAGTCTTTTTCCATCTTTGCTTTGCTTTTCATCACATTTTTAGAAAATAGGCAGCCTTTCCCAAACTCCTCCCTTTCTCCGAAGTGAGGCCGTCGTCATTAAGTATTAGGCGTCGTCTCACTCGTGCCACGCTACGCCTCCGCCATCGGCCCTCCTGCAACAGCAGCAGCAGCAGAGGCAGCGGCAGCAGCAGAACGCCCCGTGACCGTTGATCTCCGCATAGTAGAACATCCGACGCACGCACTCGCTTTCGGGTTTGCATTTCCTTCCCTCTCTTATCTCTTTTATCTTATGCTTATTTCGTCGTTAATCATAGTCTTCTTCTCCTTCGTCTTCTCCGTCGTGGAAGAGTAATGCTTGCAAACCGCGTCAAGACCCTTTCCCCGATGACGATTTCCAGATCAATATCACCTGTTTCGTTCCTTCCCCCGTCGTCGGGGATGGGTCTCCGAATTCAGGGTTCCCCTTCTTTCGAGGACCCAATTTCCCAAGAGGCGACATCAGCGCTCGACACCTGTTACGACCGCACCCCTCTTTCCAGCCCCTTTCTCCTCCGACGACTCCTTCAACTCCCATCTTCTTCCTCTTTGTGGGTTTTGCATCAGACCGTGCTACTGTGTTTCGGTTCGAGATTTGCTGCTTTTAACGTCATGATCCAACAAATATGCTAATCGCATTCACCATTTCGAATTATTTGCGTTGATTGTTAGTTTCCACATATAGGGAGATTATATTCATTCATGTACGAAGAAATAATTTGGTCCAAAGAACAAATTTGTTTTTTTTGGTCATCTCTGTCTTTCTCTTTTTTCTATCTTTATTCTCCACCAACCGTTCGGTGGACTCCGAAAGAATAAACAATCATAGCATGCGGCGGATTAACGCACAAAGAAATGGACTAAAATGGACGCAGAATGTGGTTTAGTCTCCTCGAATCCAATGCCAAACATGACTTTCCACTCCTCCATACCTCTGGAAATCTAATTATCAATGCGAGTTCTTTGTTTTTGATCCATTGACTCTTTTTGCGAAAGCTAACGTCGACTAACCAATGGGAACGCACCGGCGAGCCGTGGGAACACATCGAGTCAAAGCCGCCCCTATCGGCGGGACACCGTATCTGAAGCTTGCTGGACTTCTCATCAATCATTAAAGGACGCCGAAACTTTAGTATCGGCCGCATCAGTAGTATTAATGACTCTCGCAGCATCTTTGACTATTTCTTGATCCCGTTTGGATCCGGAATCCTTCGAAGCCACTCAAGCCTCCGGTGCACGGTCGGTCAGATTGAATCTCACATCAGTTTGGAATCCTTGCTTGCAGAATCTTCCTCCCCACCACATGCTCGCTCATAAGGTCCCGATCGCTTTTTCTTTCCACTGCACTACTTGTGGCTCCTCTGTTTCTTCTGTGAGCAAGCACCCCCCTCTCTTCCTCCCGAGCTAGGTGAGCGGTCCATCCTTTGAATTCTTTTGTCGCCGCAATGTTTGTTTTCGGATCTTCTCACTTCGGTCGATGATCATCTTCCTGTGCCTGTTGGAGCAATAGCAATTAAAATCACATATATGTGTTTTTCCCTGTACTTCCGTAGCTTAATCGATATGTGTCTTTGGAGATTTCCTTCAAGTGTTCCTATGCAATTTTTTCACTGGCAGGAGTCATTCGAGGGAAGCAGTCATGAGTTTTCGAACCGCAAACTGGCAAGCCATGGAAAAGCAGGTCCTTCGTTTTATTATGAGTTGATCATTTCGTTTAAGAAATAGCTAAACCTTCTTGAAATCATCAACAGGGGAAATTTACTGCGTTGTTTATAAGCTGGCTTCTAGGAAATGGATCCCTGTTCTCATGGAACAGCATGCTGACGATCGAGGATTACTATGCCAATCTCTTTCCGGTATGTGTTCTTTGCCTTGATTTACCATTTTTTTGGGCATTTTCTTCTGCACCATTCGGACATCTGCAACATTCATACACAAATTAGTAGGAAGACACTGAAGAAAATCCTTACCAGAACAAATCAATCATTTTGATTCAAACATTATGCCTTTTTATTATGAACTCTAGAAACATGATTTTTCGAATACTAGTTTATATTTCAGTTCTCGTGATCATCTCAAGTGTTTCTAATGTTTCAGAAATACCACCCGACGAGAGTACTCACTCTCGTCTACCAACCTTTTGCCCTCGTAACCACTGCCGTACTAGCATATCATGAAGCGAAAACCAATACCAGGCTCCGCAACTTGGCTGGATATATACTGTTCTTCGTAAGCTCGCTGGCGCTGGTTGTGGTACGTATCAGCATCATCGTTTTGTTGTTTTGACATCATATTCCAAGCGCATAAAGTTCTGCATGTTACGATGCAGCTTGATGTGGCAACGTCGGGCAAAGGTGGGATCGGCGCCTTTATCGGTGTGTGTATTGTGAGTGCAGCGTTTGGTACCGCCGATGGCCATGTTCAAGGAGGGATGGTTGGTGATTTGTCTTTGATGTCCCCAGAATTCATTCAAGTAAGCTGCCGATCTTATGGTTGTGCTATTTTCGACTTCCCCTTTCGTCATAGGCATGTAAACAGTATGGCGACACTCACGAGAGGTTCTTTTCTTGCTGCATCGAAGTCTTTCATGGCTGGGCTTGCAGCATCCGGGACCCTGACCTCTGCACTGAGACTAATTACCAAAGCAGCATTCGATGGCTCCCAAGATGGTCTTCGCAAGGGAGCCAGTAAGTAAAATTACGTGACGTGATATCAAACCATTTTATGAAGGATTTAATCTAAATTCAAGCTATTTCTTCTCCCTGCAGCATTGTTCTTTGCAGTTTCCGCGTTCTTCGAGCTGCTTTGCGTCTTCCTTTATGCTTTCGTCTTCCCTAAACTACCAATCGTTAAGTACTATCGAGCGAAAGCAGCTTCTGAAGGATCACGAACTGTTGCTGCCGACCTTGCTGCTGCTGGCATCGAAGCACTCCCCGACACCGGCGTAAGATTCCCCTCTGCGACTCACATCTATGCTATCATCATCATCTACTTCTGTAAGAAGAAGAAGAAGAAGACAAGAAAAAAGCATCATTTGATGTCAATCGTTGAATTTGTTGCAGACAGAGGAGGATCCCAAACGTCTGGAGCGTCTAAGCAACAAACAGCTGTTGGCACAAAACATAGATTACGCAATTGACATCTACTTGATCTATGTCTTGACACTGTCAATCTTCCCTGGATTCTTATCCGAGGACACGGGCTCCCACAACCTGGGATCATGGTAATCGTTCTCGACATGAACCACATGAAATAGAAACAAGTCTTGGCTGGTGCGATCTATTAACTTCGTCCTCCATTCATTTCAGGTACGCACTCGTTCTGATCGCCATGTACAACGTATGGGACCTCATCGGTAGATACGTACCTCTCATAAAGTGCCTCAAGCTGACATCGAGGAAAGGCCTCATGGCCGCAACGCTGGCGCGCTTCCTATTTATTCCGGCATTTTACTTCACATCCAAGTATGGAGCGGAAGGTTGGATGATCATGTTGACCTCCGTCTTAGGACTCACCAATGGCTATCTCACTGTTTGTGTTCTTACGGACGCACCGAACGGATACAAGGTAAGTAGGGCATCGTCTTAGCAACACATCTCTACATCGAGTCTAACTTCTGTGGCCTCTCTCTGTGATGCAGGGACCTGAGCAGAATGCCTTGGGGAATTTGCTGGTAGCATTTCTCATAGCAGGTCTATTCTCGGGTGTTGCGCTTGATTGGCTATGGCTGATCGGTAAAGGCTGGTGATGCTGCAGTGGGCTACCAGGCAATGTCCGATGCACTTGTGCAAATAAAGACACAGCTGATGGACTTTGGTGTATTTATTGGTACAACGATTGTGCTACTTGTCTTATGGTATTTATATCCGAGATCTTCTGTCATTGCAGCTCGATCAATAATTCGGGTTTAATTTGAGTTTGTGCAGCGCCATCATAAATTCTCATTGTTATTAGGACTGATTCTATGAAATTAGATATTGTTAAAAATAATTTAAATTGAATTTAGGATTTAAGGTTTCAGGTTTCAAAACTTAGAATTTTTGAGGATTTAAGATTTAGAGTTTAGGATTATTTTATTATTTATTTCTCTTCGAGTGGATTTAATTTTAAATTAAAATTTTTTATCTTGAAAATAATTTGAAAACATATAGAAACGAAGAATATACCGAATGGATGTGAAATGTGAAGACTAAGAATGATCCATGGACACCTTTTCATGTTTCAAGTAGAGGCACTATATAAAAGCTTTAAATAGTCGAAGGTATAGATGTAAGGTTTTAATTATTTGGATAAATATATGTTGGATTTAAATTTGGAGAAGTAATAAGCGTGTCATTTCAAACATGTGAAAGGGATAAATATGTAAAATTATCTCATAATAATTAGCGAAATTTTAAGTGACGCGAATTCAAATTTTCTCTTCTAAACTATTACTTGGTCATTTTAATTGGTCGCTTGTGGGTCCCACATGGGTATGGAATCGGGTTCGTGATGGGGCCGCTGCCTCGTTCAGACAGAGCACTTGTCGACGCATCATTCGTCGGAATCCACAAAAGTCGGACGTCTCAACTGCGTTATACCCAACAATAACGAGACAGGTAGAAGTTTTAGGTACGTTGAAGTGAGTAGAACAAGAATTGATATTACTCCATCAAGATGGCACTCCCTCGCGTCGCTACACGGCGACACCGTTTCGAATTCGAAATAGAAACCTGGCGGCAAAAATAGAGGTCATCTCACATTGGTAAGCTTACCGCGGGTTAGTTTGGTTTCTTTTAGAACGCCAAGCCCGACGATCGCGCTCCGCCAACCACCCTGCGTCGTCCTCCTTCCCATAAAAAGGGTACACCAGGGGAGCGAGGTCTTCCAGGCATCCGAAGGCGTCTTAGCACACGCCTGCTTTCCCCGTTCTTCTTGTGCCCATCTCTGTCTCCCTAGTCTGATCTCTGCCCTCCTTCTATTGTGTGTTTCGGTCGGCGAAGATGAGAGAGTGCATCTCGATCCACATCGGGCAGGCCGGGATTCAGGTGGGGAACGCCTGCTGGGAGCTGTACTGCCTCGAGCATGGCATCCAGGTACGATTTCCTCGTCCGATCTCTCTTTTGTCACTTTCTTTCTGGGTATAATCGATGCCAGATGTTTAGATATGTCGTTTAGCGCATAGATTTGTGGATTTCAGGCGGTTTCTGGTCGTATCTGTAGCCTATTCTGTTAATGTGTGAATCTGGTGAAGAAATTTGGAACTCCTCTCAGGATCAAGCAGTCGAACTTCGCTTTAGCCGATTTGGCTTTGACTCGCTTGATCTTGTCTATCGAGCAGTAGATCTATGTTTTCTAGTCGAGTTTTATGGTTCGATTTTGGCTTTTTTCTCGATTGATCTGATCGTTATGCCTTTCTTGATATTTTTGTTATTTTAGTCATAGTTTATCATTCGATCTGTTCTTATAGTTGACGGGTTCAAGTTTCAATCAATAAGCGCCAATGATTCGTTTCATTTTTCACCTTTAATTCCCTTCATTTTCCTATCTCGTACAAGTCATTTGGTTCTCTAAGCATTCAGAATCAGAGCTCTGGTTTAGGCTATCCAGTGGGTGTAGATCTACGTGTAACGTTGGCTTCTGCGGAGGGTCGTAGACGAGGGCGAGTCGGCGACGAGACGGGAGCACGAGGAGGCAGCGAGCGGGTTGGCACCATCGGCTGGGGCAACGGGGATCGTATAGAACGTAACTGGAAATAGGAACGGAAAAAGTGGTGGGAGGGTGCGGAACTTCGTAGATATACCCTAACACCTCTGTAGGGAAATGGAAATCAAACAACACGAACAAGAGAAACCTGATCGCTTAGTCCAAGCAGTTCCCATGGGGGAAACGGTCCGGTGTTGCCTACTAGTATTGACACTGCTCTCTCGTGCAGCCTGATGGCCAAATGCCCGGCGACAAAACCGTGGGAGGCGGTGATGATGCATTCAACACCTTTTTCAGCGAGACCGGCGCTGGGAAGCATGTCCCTCGTGCCGTCTTCGTCGATCTGGAACCCACCGTCATCGATGAAGTAAGAACTGGAACCTACCGCCAGCTCTTCCACCCGGAGCAACTCATCAGTGGCAAGGAAGATGCTGCTAACAACTTCGCCCGAGGCCACTACACCAGTAGTCACCTCATCCTTGTCCTCCGTCTCCTCTGTTATATATATGTCTTTGTGCAAAGCATGATGATGACATCGATGTTCCTGCAGTTGGCAAGGAAATTGTCGACCTCTGCCTTGATCGTATCAGGAAGCTCGCGGACAACTGCACTGGCCTTCAAGGATTCCTAGTTTTCAATGCTGTTGGTGGAGGCACAGGCTCTGGCCTTGGCTCCCTTCTCCTCGAGCGTCTCTCCGTGGACTACGGCAAGAAGTCGAAGCTGGGGTTCACCGTGTACCCGTCGCCTCAGGTCTCTACCTCGGTGGTCGAGCCCTACAATAGTGTCCTCTCCACCCACTCTCTTCTGGAGCACACTGATGTGGCTGTTCTTCTTGACAACGAGGCGATCTATGACATCTGCCGGAGATCTCTCGACATCGAGCGCCCCACCTACACCAATCTCAACCGCCTGGTTTCTCAGGTATCTTCCATCATCACCCCACTTCCTATGTTTCCAGCCAAGGCTTAAAAGTTTAACGTGCGTTGTTCGTGTGCAGGTGATTTCTTCGTTGACCGCATCGCTGAGGTTTGATGGTGCGCTGAACGTCGATGTCACCGAGTTCCAGACCAACCTGGTCCCTTACCCGAGGATTCATTTCATGCTTTCATCCTATGCTCCTGTCATCTCTGCGGAGAAGGCCTACCACGAGCAACTCTCCGTTGCTGAGATCACTAACAGCGCCTTTGAACCTTCATCCATGATGGCAAAGTGCGACCCGCGCCATGGAAAATACATGGCCTGCTGCCTCATGTACCGTGGAGATGTGGTGCCCAAGGACGTCAACGCTGCCGTTGCGACCATCAAGACCAAGCGGACCATCCAGTTCGTCGACTGGTGTCCGACTGGCTTCAAATGCGGCATCAACTACCAGCCGCCCAGCGTCGTTCCCGGCGGCGATCTGGCCAAGGTGCAGCGGGCGGTGTGCATGATATCCAACTCCACCAGCGTTGCCGAAGTATTCTCACGAATCGACCACAAGTTCGACCTCATGTACGCCAAGAGGGCCTTTGTGCACTGGTACGTTGGCGAGGGCATGGAGGAAGGAGAGTTCTCCGAGGCCCGTGAGGATCTTGCTGCACTCGAAAAGGATTATGAGGAGGTTGGCGCAGAGTCTGCCGAGGGCGAGGATGGTGATGAGGGGGACGAATATTAAGTGAATGTGTTTGCTTTTGGCCTTCGGATCCTCCTTGTTAGGTGTTCCAAGGCTCTTTTGCCATTGTGATGTTGCAATCAGTAAGCACCGCACTTCAAATCGATGCTATTGTTAAATACATTGGTTGATATGTTTCATTTGGAATATATGTCGATCTTTTGTTGGTATCAGTATTTGTGATCTTTTTATTATATCATTTATTTGAATGTGGATTAGTTTTAGATGTCTCTACATTAGAAGAAACACTAGCGTTTGAAACTTTGTTTGTAGAAAATATCATCCAGACCTATGTGCATAGAAATGTAGGGCACGTCTTTGATATAGAAATGTCTTTCGGACTCTTTGGTGTAGAGTTTGATCATTACTTTTTTATATTTTAGTGTTTCGTAGATATGCTTCCATTTTAACTTTATTAATTAGGTCGAGTTTAACTTGGAGTCTCTCTTCGAATGTTTCTTCATTGTAGTATTCAATCTAAGATGTTAGAAAGAATATTTTGAGTGATATGATAGCTTCAATGCCGAATGCTAAATTGAACGATGATTTTTCTGAATCAATTTTTAGTGTTGTCAGGGAGGCCCATAGAATTATTGATAGTTTATCCACCCAGGTGCCCTTTGCCCTCATGATCCCTTTTTTTAGTCCTTTAAGAATGGCTTGGTTGATAACCTTAGCAAGACCATTAGTTTGAGGATGAACTATCGGCTGAACATTAACAAGATCCCATAGGATTGACAAAACTTTTTAAATCTTGCATTATTAAATTAGAGTCCCATTGTTAGTGACGTGGGCATTTGAGATTCTGAAATGAGTAATGATTTTTTTCATACAAATCTTTTGACATGCTTCTCGGTGATTAATATTAGCAACTTGACTTTTACTCACTTTGTGAAGTAATCTACTCCCATTACGAGGAATCTTCTCTGGTCGGAGGTAAGTGGGAAAGGGCCTAAGAGGTTTATGCCCTATTGGGCAAAGGGCCAAGCACAATCGATTGGGCTTAAAGGGATCACTTTTATCCAAGCGCAACTTTGGCACTACTGGCATCTCCAAACCTAGGCAATTGCGTTTTTGTGCAATGTCGACCAATAGAATCCCAATCGAAGCACCTTGAATGTGAGGGTTCATCCACCTATGTGTTCTCCATAAATATCTTCGTGTACCTCGACAAGTACCCTTTTAACTTCTAATGGTGTGAGGCATCTAAGGAGGGGTTAGCTAAAAGACCTACGGTACAAGTGGTTATTTATTATGCAGTACAATGTTTGATAGTTCCTGACTCACCAAGCCACTGTAGGGTTAATTGGGAGTGTCTCATATCTTTTATAACATAAGATCTCGTTGATCCAACTTGCTTCCTCTTGATCGTAGCTATGCTATGCCCCTCGATGGTTTGGGTCAATAACATCTTGACTAACGACCAACATTTCTTTTGATCTTCAGTGGAGGCTAACTTGACTAATGCATCAGCCTAAGTATTCTCTATGCGAGGTACCTGTAACACATTGAGTTGGGTGAAGCTTGAAGCTAACAGTTGTACCTTGGCAAGGTGTTTCATTATAATTTTATCTCAGGCTT